TCCGATCTTCCCGTTTTCCGGTGGTGCAAATGAAGTCAGCACCTTGCTTTCTGAGCAGCACCATGCCCTCGACAAGGAAGGCGCTCTCTGGCCCCACTGCTTGCTCCCAAAGCCGGGGGAGAGTCTCCTGCAAAGCACGGATGTGACGTCTTTCGAGTGGTTCCCCTAGCCAAACAAAAGTCCATGGGGGTCTAGAGGTGAGTATTGCTGTGCTGGTGACCAGGATGCACTGAACTTTCTTAATATCGAGTGTTTAGACAACAAATCTCATTCCTGGCAAGCAAGCTGTAATTAGTATATCAAGACCATGAGCCATGTGAAGACTCCGTTTGTCTCCACCTGTTGCCCTCGAAGTGACATGGTCTCTGCCATGCAGGGCGGCTTCACTTAGCCATGTAACACTGTCTAAAAGAAGCTTCATGCGACCAGCGTTGTGTGCTTGGATTCGAAATGTGGTCAAAAGTGCTGTCCAGGTCGTTTGACGTGGCAGTAGCTGCGGCCCCGACACCAAAGCGAGCACTTGTCTTGCTTGGGCACGGTTTGCGGCAACAAGGCAAAAGTGGTCCCATGTGATCAAGTCCGTGGATGTCGTTCCAATGTCACTTTGATGCCCTTTCAGACTACGTACTCAGCAATCACCCCGGCCAGTGCATTTGGCCGCCGACAAGCAAAGGTTGTCTGGTCTTTCTGTGAGTCACCACAAAGGAGAAGCCAATGACACTGCTCTTGGGTCGTGATACGCTGAAATACTAAATTAGGTGGGCGGCTTCGTTTTCCTGCGTGTGCCGCAAATCTAGGTCGTGCCAATTCATGGCCTTGCCCGTTGAACCATGGCCTGTTGCCAGCCGACCTTGAAGGAAAAATATTGTCATGATTTCACATTAGCGTATGTATATATGTGTATTATGATATGTGCATACTCTCCGATATCTCCGCATCTTCCACAGGATCACTCCTTGCTTGTGCTTTTTCGGCTTCCATATCCATTTTCTTCTCATTTCGTTCTGTTCTGTTGCTTTGGCTTTGTCTCAAGAATAGACGAGACCCCAAACGAGTTGTGCTGCGTCTTTTTTTAAGCCAGATCTTTTTGGTGTTAATGCTGCTCCCTGTTTTTCGCAACCCAGAAAAATAGGCTCAGGTGATATCCCCGACAGCATGCAGTGCTCTTTTTAGTGCTTGCACCACCCCGCAGCCCTCTCAGAACCTCGTGGAACCCTCGTGGAACCCTGGTGAAACCCTGGTGGAACCCTGGTGGAACCCTGGTGGAACCCTCGTGGAACCTTACCTCAGAACTGCCCCAGACCACCCCGGAGCCTATCTGGGCTGAGACCCCAAAGCTTTCAGCTGTTGGGGAAAAAAAAAACATCCCTTCAAAGACACAGGCCCTCTTCCTGGAAACCGGTCGAACAGCTCACCGGTTCCCTCGGCTCCGTGTGGGTGAGATGCGCGCAGTAGCCCAGGAAGAAGAAGGTCAAGGCGCTCAGGGCTCCGCAGAGCAGCAAACCCACCACAGCCTCGCGTGATGCAAAGTGAGGCTGGCACCAGAGATCTGGGGTACACATGGTCGCCTTTTTGTTTGGTCAAAATCCTGTACCCCCAGTGAACATCCGACTCCCCACTAAAATAGAATAAAATGGGTGGTGCACCTACCCCAAAATGGACCAAGGGTTTGACCCACAGCCAAATGACAAATTTTGCGGCCCTTTGAGGAGAGGTTTGCTTCACGTGCGGTCCTTCGTCAACCAAGGACCTGTTGAAATGACACCCTGCAAACACACATCTGATAAAGTGAGGATCGCTCCAGCCTCATGAACAGCCGTCTTGAACCACACATTCCACGGCAAAACACCTTGCCAAGCACCAAAAGCTAACTGCTGCATTGCTCGGCTCCAATTTCCCCATTCCATCGGTCATGGCCAGCTTATCTAGGCCGAGGTGCCATCAAAGGATTGGCGGCTTCTGCAACAGCGCGTGGCAGTGTCAGCATGCCGATGCCGACCAATGACCTGAGGGAGCTTTTTCGACGGAGATTCCTTAGGAACCTTGTCTCAGCCTTGTGTTAGCCGTGTCTCAGCCTCGATGACTAATTGAATCTGGGCCAAACCACTTTTGGTTGTTGTTTTTGTTTTGGAAGGAGGATCTACTGCCTAAAATTTCAGGTCTTCTCGCACTCAGCCTCTTTAGCAATGGGGCCGGGTTGATTTCTGGAAAGCAACCAATCCTGACAGGTATCATCTGGAAACACACACACACACACCAATGTACATACACATACATATTTATGTATGTGTTTTTCTTAAAACAATGATCTTGCAGGAAGATCAGCTGTGGGCCCCGGCTTTGTGACGTTGGCTACAGAAACCCAGAAGGAGGAGGACTCAGTGGCAGTGAACACGACCGTCTCGTCGCTCCTGTCTGCTCTCTCAAAGGTGCGGTGCGGACCACAGCTGGTAGTCCACAGCTGGCAGTGAGACTGGATGCTCTACGGCAGTGGACCGCTTGGGCGGCAAACAATCGCAACCTCTACACCCTCACCTTTGGGTGAGTCATCGAAAGAAATCTTAGGCATCAAGCAGAAACTTACTAAAGGAGATCAAAACACACAAACACACTTACTGCCTTAGCAAGTCGTATTAATCACGCCTAGGCATTGCTGTTCTCATCCTCAGCTGGCTTACAAAGAGGCCTTCCGACAATTTGCAACATCATCGCTTTTCACGTGACACTACACGATCTCTCGTTAGCATGCATGCAGGTACGTCCTGGCATCACTTCGAAGAGATGCATACTCAGAGACGTAGGCGGCAAATTCCTCCTCCTCTACCTGCAAGAGAAAAGCAGGGCTGCTCTGTTGGACCGATTTGAATTCGACTGCTATGCAAAGGACCCTTGAAAACCCAAGCTGTTGACAGAAGCTCTGACGGCAAAGCAACTCAGCTTCAAGAGCTTCTGTGTTCGAAGTCACCTTCGCATGCTGCATGAGAATGCAGCATTGAACAAGGTACCCTCTCACCCACTGACATTATATTAACATATGTAAAGGCTATATTAACATATGTAAAGGCTATATATGGGTTAAACATCTGAAATCACCACCGTTTACCTCCATTTGCTTTTTTGCTCCCTGGCAAAATGAGGAATATGTCCAATAGTGAAATCGATTCCCTTTAAAAGCAACAGGGGAGAATAAAAAAAGACATTCGTTTCAGCAAATGGAAGTTTACTGCTTTCACCAGCACCTGCGTAAAAAACAATGCCCCCCCCCCCCCCCAAGGGCAACCCATGCCCTGGAATTACCCACCACATTTTTGACAACCACCGCCTCTGCATCCTCATCCTCCTCTAGGCCAGCCACAAAGCTCGCGAAGCAGTACTCATCCAACCTCCGGCTACGTCTCTTCAAACGATAGAATCATCCAACCGGCTTCAATTGACCTCAGAAACTCTTCCCCTCCTGCTCAAGGCTCTTAGCCAAAAAATCGGAAAAACAAAACGAGAGACACCTGGTCTCTACTAAATTCCCGAGATCGCTTTGGGACTGCTTGAGCAGAAATTCCAGCGCCGAAACTCCGGCTCTGCATTCGCTGGGCCCCAAAGCCCAGGCTACCAGACATGCGAAAAAACGGCGGGTGGCCCAAAAAACCGGCCCGATCGGTAAGTGGAGACATGGGTCCCAAAATTCCTGTGGGGTTTGCGCCCCTCCCCTCGTTTTGAATTTTGAGCCAGCCACACGAAACAAACAGCCTGGCGCCTGTCTGAGAGACTGCGGCTGCGGCGGACTTTCCGGCGCACTGGCGGGCTTGCCATCCATTAGCGCACCGAGAAAGGCGCCATGCGGCTTGGTTCTCTCGAGCCGAGATTGCTGCTGAACCTGTTGCTTGCTCCATACACATACTTCATATATATATATATATAGTGTAGCTATACACAACAAGTATGGCCCTCTCTCCACAAGCAGTGACAACAAGATTCTGCGAGCAGCTCAGGCTGAGTGAAGTGAAGCATCAAGTTCCACCAAAAGCTGAACATGTGCCTCCTGCTCTTTGGTCTCGCCGAAGAAGGATAACCCCACATCGCTGTGGGTCAAAACCCAAATCGGTTAGCCCCCAGTGAACATCAACCAATCCAACCACTAAAATAGCAACCCTAAAATGGGTGGTGAATTCACCTACCAACCAAAATGGGATCCCATTGGTTTTGACCCATGGCCATGTATTTGGTACTCAAAATAGGGAGCCACCGAAATTGTGGTTTGCCTACTGGCTTCCCATTCAAACCAACCAACAGTTAGTACCCTCAAATTTTGACACCCCGCCCCCCCCCCCCCCCATTTAGCTGGCCATGGCACTGCCCAACTCAAACCTTTGGACAATATGCGTTGCAATTGCCACAACTCTCAGCAAGCCCCTCCGCTTCCAGCTCTGACAAGGCTGTGGGTCAAAAAATAGGGTAACCCGCCAAAATGGGACCTTGGTAAATGGAAACATAGGCTGAAACCTGCGGTCCCCTAGTAGTTTTATTTTGACCCAGAGGTTCACAGCATCGCCTGATCAAGCGAACTGCGCTTGGCTCGAAGGCCCAACGCCATGGCAAGGCCAAAGAGAAGCCACGAGGCCAGGAAGGCTGAGCTGACCGACACTACATCTGTGAGAAGTCTTGGTTGACGTTGGAAGGGGAGCACAAATTTTAACTTTAGCAGTTAAGTGGGGATTCCACCACTAAACCACAATAAGCAAAAATGTAAATCTTTCCCCACAACAACCATGAAGTGGTTGTTACAAAAGCAATGTCTGAGCTCAATTTTTGCGAGAACCCTGCAGAAGACTAAAGTAAACACCATCCACTAAACCTTTGGGTGTGCATGTTTTGTTGAAGGTACGCCTTTTGTTTGGGGTTTTAAAGGAAAAACAAAAAGGAACACCGCCAGTTTGGGGCTCTAATAAACAACTGCTCATTAGCCTTGGGTAGACAATGATCCGGAGTTGCACTAAGGGAGAGGCTCGGAATCTTGGCCAAGTAGTTCCACACCATGGGCAACCACGGCATAATGATGACCGGCCTGCGGAATCATTGAAGGCACCCGAGCAAACCCTTCCCTGTAAGGAAACACGGAATCACACCATGACTTTGTAATGGGGACCCACCTCAATTGGCGGACATGAATCCCAGCCGTGGTGTCCGCCAGCGGGTCCCCCGCTGAAATTCACACCACTTCAATAGATCCGCACCATGTACATTGCTCTTTGAGGACCCCCGTTGCCAGTGCCTGAAGGTGATTGTCTCGCAAGCACCATCAGGGGTTGCAACAAAGCAACAGCAATTACTATTTGTCGACGCAGCACTTCAACCATGCCGTCAATAAATCACAAGCCTTGCAACATGCCACAGGCTGCAACAATGTCATTGAACATCTATGTTTGCGCGCAAGCAAACAATGCACACAATCCTTCTTCACACGATCCTGCAAGTGCAAAACACATCCAAGCACTAATCCAGCACAGGGCTCCAAGATAAAATCCAATTTGCTTAGACTCTCATGAGCTGGCTTTATTCTCGACTCTCTGAATCTGTCAAGTCTCTCACTCTCTCCATTCTCTACATTTCTCAACTCTCATACGATCTCAATCTCTCACTCTCTTGCTATCGCTCTCTCTCTCTCCCTCTCTCTATTGCCCTTGTGCCTCCACAAAGACATGAAACAGTCGCCCACAACACGGGCAAGCGAATGTGGAACGCCCATACACACCTTGGCAGCAGGAAAAGAAAGCAAGAAGCTGACCATCTTCAACTGGCAAACGAAAACTTCAACTCGCCGGTTGAACCTTGCGCCAAGCAATTCCTGATCAGCGGAATCACGATGATTGGTCCTGCCACTTCGCCGGGGTGCCAGCAACTGAGGCGTCAGCTCGACTCACTTCCCAGGGAGGGCTCCCTGGCGGCCAATGACCTTGGCGTAGCCTCTGCACCCAGCCCAGAAAGTGGTAAGTGCATGTCCTCTCGGGGGCAACCATTTTTTGCACGGCTAGGCTGCCAAGAATATGCACATATAGATATATATATATATATACATATGGTACCTTCCCCCCCTGGACCCTGGTTTGGTGCGCATGAGCTGTGTTTTACCAGTGTTTTATGCCTTTTTTGCCTCGTGCTTATTTTTTTTTTGGGGGGGTGCTATCTGTATATCTATATACATGTGTGCAGACATATGTAGTGCAAGCAAAAATATCAAAATCTGCCATCTGACTGAAAATTTGTATCCATCTCAGAGTATTGGGACAACCCCGTTTTCTGCTGCCTTGTTTTAATAAAACAATATGGGATTCAAGATTCAAGAATCTGAGAAAATGCTTTTTGGGAATCTTGAATCTTGAATCCCAGTGTTTATATATATATAATATTTAACAAGTATATTTTATTTGGGTTTCAACTCCTATCTAATTTTATTTTGTTCTGATGAGTTGGAGTTTACCCGAAACTATGTTTACATGTTCATGTAACTCTTATTTGGAAAGGAGTTGTTTATTTAAGTTATAGCTGAAGATAAAACACATGTTGGAAACTATATCCTTAAACTACTTTCAAAATTCCAATTCTAGTTGAAGTCAAATCCTATTTGGAAAGGGTATATCATATTGGGACATTACATGTACTTTTGTATCAAGGATGCCATTCCAATCAACCAGGCTGAAAGCTGAAAGCTGAAAGCTGAAAGCACGGCAACGTCGGTTCCCCTTTCGTTTCTTCATTTCCCGGCGAAATGGGGCAACCAGTGGAAAACCAGTGGAACACATCTATGTCCAATCAAATTAATTTTGACCCGGGGTTAAGAAACCCGTCCCATTGTTAGGTGGGTGTTCCCTCCAAAAGCGGTCTGACTCCCCACTAAGATGGGACACCCCCCTATTAATCAACCAGGGGTTTATTCATCCGGGGTTGACATTAACCTAAAAAGGCCGCCTATGGGCCCAAACTTGCAGAACTGTCCGTGATCGGCATCTAGGCAACCATAGGGGAAGCAGCAACCCTAAGCCAGGCACTTGTAGTCATAGACGCGCTCCTGACGAGAATCTGGGGAGGAGTTGATTTGGGTACGTGCTTTTTGAGGATACCCAATTTTGGAAGGGAAAAAAGGAACCAACATTTTTCGGGTTAGGATACCCATTTTTTGAGGATGCCCATTTCTTTTGGCTTTAGAGGGGACACCACAAGGACTGAACATTCATAGGGATCCAACTCCCTTCACCCCAAGACATCCAAGGCCGGCGGTCATCGGCCGCGCTTGCGGCCTGCTGGGGGCTTTTCATTTTGAAGGTCCCCTTTGGAGGGGTTTCAAAAAAAAAAAAAAAAACAAGGAAAACACCCAAGGAAAAAGCCACAGAGTTTTGCAGGGGTCCCCTACACATAGGGCTGTTTGGCCCTGGAAATGCTCCGCTGTTCAAACGAACCAGCGCGCGTTCTCAAATTCAGCGAACCGCCTTCGAACTGCAAAATTGGCGTGACACCTTTCTGAATAGCTTTCAAGGAAAACCAAGGGGACACCAATCACCTAGAAGGGTTCCGAATATTCAAGCTTGAGACACGCACAATCTTGCAGGTTGAGGGCAACTCCTATCTCTGCATGTGCACGCGGTTGTTCATCATCGGTGCTTTTGAAGTGAAACAAGCTTCTGCAACCAAGAAAAGGCGCCTTGTGGTAGTGCGTACTCAGTGAGTTCCTACAGAGGACAAGCGATGCGCGTGCTTGGAATAGTCATCCTGAAACCGTAGAGTGCTGAAGCCAAGTACTGCATTGACTTGTTGGGCCTTTTGATCATGAACATTCACCATGACGAGGACTACCCTGGATTTCAAACCATGAAAACAGAGGGGATTAGTATAACCACCATTGCTTACCTAAGGATTGTCATCATCTAAATTGGGTCCCAAGGCCATGCCTTTAACTTGGTTGACGTTGGAAGGGAAGCACAAATTCACATGTTCGCAGTTAAGTGGTTGGAATTCAACCACTAAACCACAATAAGCAGACATGTAAAATGTTTTCCAACAACAACCATGCTATTTGGGGCAAGGTAAGCAATGGTGGCTTTTTTTTGAACCACTGAAATTGTCATCTACACTGAAATGGTCCCAAGGCGATTCTTGGGGCCCGCCGACCGACCAATCGCAAGGGACCCCTCGCACCCCATCCCCCCGTCGTGCGCGCCGTCCGCGCCGTGCGCGCCTCGTTGCGCCTGGCTTCCTCTATGGCCAAGCGCTGCCTCCTCAGCTGCTCCTCCTGGCGATTCGGCGGAGACTTGTGACCTGGTGCTCATTTGGCGGTGGTGGCCAAAAATAGGTACACAACAACATTGGTACCCAAAATAGGTACCCAAAAAGAGGTACCAAAGATGAGGAACCCAATATTATAATATTTGGCTGTGGTTGTCAAAATTCAAAGCCAAATCGTACCCCCAGTGAACGGGACCCAATCCAACCACTGAAATAGAGTAAAATGGGTGGTGAATTCACCTACCCCAAAATGGTACCATTGGTTTTGACCCACAGCCATTTGATAGATAGGCGGGGAGTTACCCAAAAAATGGTACTCAACATAGGTACTCCCAGCAAGAGGTACCCAAGATGCGGAAACCCATATTTGTCGGTGGTTGTCAAAACCGTTTTGGGATCCCAGTTTGGTTGGTAGGTAGGTGCAACACCCATTTTAGAACCTATTTTAGTGGGGATTGGGATGTTCACTGGGGGTACGGTACACAAAAGTGGTGCCCAAAATAGGTACCCTAAAAGAGGTACCAAAGATGAGGAAACCAAGATTTGGCGGTGGGTCAAAACCAATGGTAACCCCTGGTGAACATCAAAATAGGTGGTACATGGGTTTTCATCCGCCCCAAAATGGAGGCATAGGTTATGATTTACGGTTATTTGATGTGTGTGATATCCCAGTCATTCTGAGTCATCTGAATCAGCACCTCACCCGAAATTGATACTCATCCCCACGACACCCCATCCCTTCACCAACCCTTACACCCACCCTTCACGACCCCTCCCAACCACAGTCGGTTCTCAAACCCATCCCATCCGATGGGCTCGTGCCATCTCCTGCACAGTGAGGTCTTCCGGCAACGTGGCGCCCGCCATCTGCCGGTAGAAGTCCTTGCTATTCGCCTCCAGCTGGGTCAAAACCTGGCAAAAGGCGGCGCAAACACTTTGAACACAAACCCCATTTCACCCTACCCCTAATTGGTGGTGGTTTGGTGGTTCAGGACGGGTAAACCCCATTTACCCTCTACAAAAGCCAGGGTTCACAACCCCAAATCACCAATCCAAACCACCAACTAAGGGCTATCTGATTCTCTGTTTCCTGCCATTCCAGGGAAAAACAAAACACTCCTCGGCTTTGAATTTTCATGCCATTCAGCATTCACTCTTCACTGGGCGCACTGCTTGTTTGGAATCGCACCTCCTTCCCCGCTTTGATCGCTTTCAGCCTCCGCTTTTCCTGAGTCCCAATACGTCCCGGTTCCTCCCCGTGACATGAAGACTTAACTTCAGTGCTCCCTTTCATGTTGACTAAGCGGCCAAAGACATACAGTAGCGCCCCCCTCCCCCTTGGCCTGGGGTGTGGAGTTTGCCAAGCATTCCTCTCAACATGAGAAACTATGACACACTTGCCATCCAGCCCCAACTGGACACCAAATCTTCAAACACAGGGAGTGGGCTGCATCTAAGGGCTTCAAGAATGTCCTCCAGCTGTGGAGTTCGCCTCTTGTTTCCTCCTTCAGTACTGCCCCCTTGCCTTAAATACAGCTCCACCCTACTATCATCTGTTCTGGGCGAGGGGCAAAGCCTAAATGGACATAGGGCAGTTTCGGACACACGGTTCCCTTTTGGGAGAGTCCTCATAAGCCCCAACTTGCTTCATAGTTCTTTTTTTGCAGCTCGTCAAGTCAGTGTGTTGAGAAACACCGCAATTTCAGTGCGCGCGAAGCAAGTGCACTTTGGCACAGTATCGGGTTGGTGGGTCCCTAATGTTGGACTTTTTTCCTGGGGAGTGGAACCATTCAGTGGGTCCCTTTTCTTGGTTTGCTTGCATTCCGTCAAATCCTAGGGAACAGCCTTTTGCTTTGGCGTTTGCGCCGCTCCCGTCTCCTTCCTGATATCTCTCCTCCTGATATCTCGCGGGCAATGGAAACAACAACCAACCCCAAACAAACACACAAACAAACAAACAAACCAACCAACAAGCAAACAAACACGCAAATGAACAAGAAACAAACAAGCACGGAAAGCAAACAAGCAACCAGAGAAACAAACAAAAACATAAGGAAAGAAAGGAAGGAAGGAAGGAAGAACGAAACAAAGAAAAATCAATCAGAAACAATAAACAAGTAAAGACACAAGAAACAAACACGCACACAAACAAACAAACAAGCAACCTAAGAAACAAACAAAAACACATGGACATAAAGGAAGGAAGGAAGGAAGGAAGGAAGGAAGGAAGGAAGGAAGGAAGGAAGGAAGGAAGGAACCAAAAAACACAACACAAGCAAAGGAACACGCAACCAAAGAAGCAACCAAAAACACCAGGAAAGAGAGGAATGAAGGAAGGATAAGAAAGATAGATCGGTATATAGACAGGTGGGAAGATAGACAAACAAATAGATTACCCTTCCTCCAACTTACATGGCACCCTTTTGAAGAGAGCCCCTGTCAGTTGCCCTGGAAAGAACAAATAGAATACCACCAGCAAACCCAACCAACCTCCCACCAGGGCAGGGAGGTTTGTTGCAGGAGACAGACCACAAGCCAAACGCCGAGCATCTGCATTGGTGCGCCGCTTCTTCTCTGCTTCCGAAAGCTCCTGGCAAAGCTTTAGGCCACAGGCAAAACAGTCAATGTTTAGCTAGATTGATGCGTACAATTATACAATATGTCTATATATACATATATGTATGCACAATTTGTATAGCATGTATATGTGTGTATAACATGTGTATATATATATATGTATATATATATGTTATGTATATATATGTGTTATATAATATGTGTTCTCTCTCTCTATATATATATATATATATATATATATTAGCATGTAGAGCAGCGTCGGTCTCCTGCATGGCTTGGATGATCACCTTGTACCTCTCCATGGCCTCCTCTTCATCTGTCAGCACCTAAGCCAGGGCACCTCGCATTTCCATACGATGGCTCCAAATTCCACAAAAATTGGGCCGGTGGTTGAATCGTCCACGTTTCCATTTACCAGGGCAAGCCATTTTGGGGTTCTCCACGATTTTTGGCAACCACAGCCAATGTGATTACGGCCTAGCCCTGTTTCAGCCAGCTCACTTTCCCTCCGAGAAACTCGGACAAAGAGTCGGATCCCAGTGGCTACCTGATTGCAAGCCAGCTGCCGAAGACTCACTTGGAATGTCCTCGTCTTCCTTAGATCCAAAGTCTCGAACAAGTCTGGGACTTGCCTCAATCCTCCACAGGCAGAACTGTTCGACTTCCCCATAGGAATTGGTGTGCCAAGTAGCTCAACCGAGCCGAGCTCTGTGAACAGCTTGGAGGAATATTAATATGTGGTGAGCGAGAGTCGTCTAAGACTGCCCACATCATCCCAACGGGAAAATACACACAGAAACAAGTGAGCACATTATTGAATCCCACCAATTAATCAAAACTTGCGTTTCCCTGCAAAGCAGCATCCCAAAAAGCACACTATCTTCAATGGTAGCATCCCTTTGACAGCTCAAGCGAGGCAAACATGCACTCTCTGCCAGTTGGACCAAGGATCATCATGAAACCTGCTCAAAGGTGCCAGGACGACGTTCAATACCTGCGCATTGGCCAAACAGATTCCCTGTCAGGTTTGCACATGGACTTCTTCCTTCTTGCGAGAAAAAAACACCTACGACTCATGCTCATGAAAAGCGGACCACATTCCTCTCGACATCTAGTCAAGGGAATTGCGCAGTTCCTTGGGCTGCAATCTCTGACAGAGACATCTCTCGAGCTCACCGCAACGCTGGGATTCATCATCACATCCTTGAACCCCAGGATTCCATCTTTGTCATTGACCTGGCAGCGAAACCAGCGCATACCAACATAGCGACTGTGGCATGCCTAAGTGTTGCCCCGTGGCTGAGAGGAGTCCTGCCAATGCTTTGCGTGACTCTGCGCGTTTGAACAAACACTACAACCTATTCAGTCCTGGCCAACTGCGGACAGCCCTCACTGCGCAACAAAACACTTGTCACTTTTGTGTCAAGTGAACGGCACGGTCAGCATTGGCCTTGTTGCGCAAACACTGAAGCTGCACGACACACACTAAAAAAAAGATTGGCTCTCGCAAAGAAACGTAGGTCAACAGGCTGGTGCTTGCAAACTGCACGTTTCATCTTGCAATTGTTGTACTTGCCAAGCTGGTTGCCTGTGTCATTCTACTTCAAGCGTGGCCCCCACGTGCCGCACCCGGCGCCTTGACAATCGAGTCTCCCGGCCGAATTCGCTCCTTTGGATGCTCTTCGTTCCACCTGGACCACAATGATTGAGCCATTCTAGTAGGCGCCATCAAACTTCACCTACTCATTGTTGTCATCATCATCAAGGAAATACGTTGGATTCGTTTGTAACAACGGTCTCGTATCTGTCCACATTTGCCATCCCAAGGATGGTCCAATGGTTTCCGGCAGCTTCGACTGCAACTCATGTACACTGAAGGCTTGGGCATTCTGATGTCACCGTCACCGCACAAATGATGATACGGAACACGATCTTGACTATAAAGCCAGCTTAGAAGAAACTTTCGCGTGACGGAACTATTTGAAAGCTAGCTAGCTCTGCGATGACGAGAGAAGACTAAGCGCGCGGGAGGACATGCATGCGGGTGGCAGGGAAAATTAAATGTAAAAAAACGCTCTCCGGGTTTCGCTGCTTTGGGATGCTCGAAAGTTATCCTGATCGCGATACCTGGTCGGAGCGCTCTCGGAGCATGTTCCAAGCCGGGACCGTTGGCACGGATGCGCGCGCCCGCTTTTCGCAAGACTAGTTTGCGTGACAGGCGCAGCACTTTCGCAAGGTCGGTGGATAAATAGACAAAGAAAGAAAGAAAGAAAGAAAAATAGATAGATAGATAGCTAGATAGCTAGAAAGAAAGATAGCTAGATAGACAGATAGACAGATAGACAGATAGACAGATAGACAGATAGACAGATAGACAGATAAGATAGATAGATAGATAGATAGATAGATAGATAGATAGATAGATAGATAGATAGATAGATAGATAGATAGATAGATAGATAGATAGATAGATAGATAGATAGATTAGATTAGATAGATAGATAGATAGATAGATAGATAGATAGATAGATAGATAGATAGATAGATAGATAGATAGATTAGATTAGATTAGATTAGATTAGATTAGATTAGATAGATAGATAGATAGATAGATAGATAGATAGATAGATAGATAGATAGATAGATAGATAGATAGATAGATTAGATTAGATTAGATTAGATTAGATAGATAGATAGATAGATAGATAGATAGATAGATCGATAGATAGATCGATAGATAGATAGATCGATATATCAGGTAGGCAAATAGATAGATAAATAGACATAAGTAGGCGGATGGATACATATATATATATAGAGATAGGGATATATCTAGACAGATTAGTAGATAGACAGACAAGCAAACAAACAGGTAGATAGATAGGTAAACAGATAGGTAAATAGATGGATAGATAGGTACATAGATAGATAGATTAATAGATAGATAGATGGATGGATAGGTGGAGGTAGATAGATTGATAAACAAAATAGGCAGGTGGATAGATATTATACAGTTAAAGAGAGAGATATAGATAGATTCATAGATATATAGATGGATAGACGGATAGATAGACAAATAGGTAGATAGATAGTTCGCTAGACAGATAGATAGATAAAAACAAAGAAGACAAACACAATTAAAGACGAAAAGAAAGATACATGGACTGAACAAAAACAATGAACTGCAAGAAGGAAAGAAACAAATGCAAAATAAGATGACCACAAATAAGAAAATAAACACATTTCATGTGTTGAAACCTCCGCCCAGCGCCTTCGCCGGATCTAGTGGTCTGAGGCAAAGGCTTGCAGGCCAATCCCCCCACTGCCAGGTTCTGAATCCTGACGAAGTCATGGCAGGGTGGGGCCACCCATTGGTTTAAACATGTTCAAACAAACCACTGGTTATGATGATTCTTCCCTTGTAAAGGTGGTGTCTAAGCCATACTTTGCCCCACCCAGCATGGCAGTCTTGCTCTCCATGCTCACGGATTTCTGCTGCGTGCTAGTGGCACGGGCCAAAGCAACTAGGTTCTCTAGCAGAGAGGTTAGAATAAGGGGACCAACTTCTTTCTGTGGTCTATTTTAGTAGCTTGGTTGCTGTTGACCCCCCTGCAAAAAGTGAATAACTTTTGGGGGGTTTAGTGGACAACCCAAATTGATTTCAACCAAAAAGTTGAAGTCTAAAGATCCAACCCAATAGCAGTCAAGGTAGGGGAACCCTCCCCCAAAAGGGAACTACTGGGGACCTAGCCATTAGCAAAAACAAGGCAATGCTGCCGGCCCAACGAAGCACGAAATCTTAACCAATTGTCATTCCGATGTCAGCGCAAAAACAAAAAACAAGTCTCACAAACGACCCCCCCTTTTCCGGCCGCGAACTGGCAGGAGTGCAACACGACAACCAACAGGCAGGAGCAAACCCGCGAGAGAAGGGTAGCAGACCCAGAGCAGCACTTTACACGCACAAATCCAGCTGTGGAGTTCACCTCTTGTTTCCTCCTTTCACACGCTGGTGGTGCCCCAAATGTGGGGCGTCTATGTAACAGCAACCACGGATTAGAGACTTAACTGCTCTTGCACCCGGCTGCTGTCCCCGCCAAAGTGTGCATTACCCCAGGTCACAACAGCCCCAGATGCAAGAATGGCAGCAAAAGCACTATCAGATGCTTGGATGTGCTGGACGTTCGTCAGCTGCTCTTGCACCTGGCTGCTGTCTCCGCCGCAATCTGGGTCACCCCAGGTCACAACAGCCCCACATTCAAGAATGGCAGCAAAAGCACGTGCCGTTGCTTGGATGTGCCGGACGCGCTTCAGCTGCTCTTGCGCCGAACTGCTGTCTCCGCCACATTCCGTTTCACCCCAGGTCACCACAGCCCCAGATTCAAGAATGGCAGCAAAAGCACTTCCGGTTGCTTGGATGTGCTGAACGTTTTTCAGCTGATCTTGCACCTGGCTGCTGTCTCCGCCGTGCGCTGCATGACCCCAGGTCACAACAGCCCCGGACTCAAGAATTGCAGCAAAAGCAAAGGCAGTTGCTTGGACGTGCCGGACGTGCCTCAGCTGCTCTTGCACCTGGCTGCTGTCTCCGCCGCCACCTGGATTACCCCAGGTCACAACAGCCCCAGATTCAAGAATGGCTGCAAAAGCGGCGTAAGTTGCTTGGATGTGCTGGACATTCCTCAGCTGCTCTTGCACCTGGGTGCTGTCTCCGCCACAGCCTTCAGCACCCCAGGTCACCACAGCCCCAGATTCAAGAATGGCTGCAAAAGCGGCGTAAGTTGCTTGGATGTGCTGCACATTCCTAAGCTGGTCTTGCACCTGGCTGCTGTCTCCGCCCCAGAATTTACCACCCCAAGTCACCAGAACGCCAGACTCAAGAATGGCAGCAAAAGCAGCATCGGCAGGACTGGTGGTTGATTGGATGTATTGGACGTTGCTCAGCTGCTCTTGCACCTGGCTGCTGTCCCCGCCAAAGTGTGCATTACCCCAGGTCACAACAGCACCAGATTCAAGAATGGCAGCAAAAGCACTTCCGGTTGCTTGGACGTGCTGGACGTTCCTCAGCTGCTCTTGCACCTGGCTGCTGTCTCCGCCGGGTGCTGCATTACCCCAGGTCACAACAGCCCCAGATTCAAGAATAGCGGCAAAAGCATGCGCTGTTGCTTGGATGTACTGGACGCTTTTCAGCTGCTCTTGCACCTGGCTGCTGTCTCCACCATGTTCTGGATCACCCCAGGTCACAACCTCGCCCCCATGGCCATGCCAAGCAAATGCCCTGCTTGTGGAAGCCAGCTTGCCAAGCTGCACAACCGCCGCCACTTCGTCCCCATCTCGCAACCCAGATTCGCTCAGTGTAGCCTTCAAATCGAGCTGCCGGCCTTTCGCAATGAGCTTCAAGCGGCGCTGGAAATGCTGCTGCGCGGCAGCCTTCAGCTCGCTGACGGGCGTCTCCGGTGAGACTGCTACGGAGCACACATCTCCGCTGGGCAAATGCACATCCACATGAAACATGGCGCAGGGCTCTTATTCTTTTCTCCAATCGTTTTCAGCTTCCACAGAGATGAAAGCATGGATACCCTTTTGGCTTTTCAAGGACGAGATGCCAAGCCTTTAAGTGTCAACACTCGGACTGCAAGAAAAGATCCAAAGTCTTGAAGCACAGCTCCCCTTCGACCGACTGAAGTTCCCGAAGGCGAGATCGACACCGGGATTCGATGTGAGTCTCCAAAACAAATTGCGAGTTCGGCTAAGTCCAAGGAATCGGACACCGAAAAAAGGGCCCCCAAGGAAACACATGCTGTGATTGGTGGACCAGATCTCAGGTCTACAAAGGGCGGCTTCAGGTCGAGCTTGCTTTTTTGCAACAATGTGAAAACCAGAGGGGTTTGCAACTCCGAAACAAACCCGAGTCATGACCACATTATACATGAAAGTGATTGCAAGACCCTGAGCCCTGTTTCGATGGCATCTGCTAGCGCGGTCCCATTGAACATTCAAATTCCCTTTTCTGAGCAGTCTTATAAGCTTCCACAAATTCCACCACTTGGTTTCTCCTATTCTGCAAATTTTACTGCAAAAGCTGAACTAAGGGACTATGGGAGCTGGCCAGCTAGGGTTTCATTTCAGGAGCCATGGACTTGGTCGACCTGATCTTTCATGGGACACCTACTTGGGTGTCCTTGAAAATAGAAATGTGGACCCCCAAATGGCTTCGGTGTTCCTTTTGGCGTCGGAAAAAAAGGGGGTGTCAAAAAAGACATCCCCATTTGTTTCAAGGTATGAGGGGCGATTCGCAAAGACCAGTCATGGCCGAAATCATTTCATGTTTCCGTAAGGCCCGTTTTGACTGCGCCTGCTGACAACTGTTAGTGGAACTGGTAAGAGCTCGCTGAGCAACCCATTTTCGGAATCAGAACATCACATATGCACTATACATCGCTGGTCAATCGGGATGCTTCAAACGACCCAGGCTCGTCACTGTTGCTTTGGATCAAAAACAGATATGGGTCCCGTCATTTCGGTTCCAAACGGGTGGTTTCCCCTTACCCCTTGAAACCAAGGTTTGTCAAACAAGACCACCCTCAAAAAGGCACACAGGAAACTGCACAAACAATGTGGGCATTGCTGAAAAGAAGGACAACCACCAAAGGTGGGGTAAAAGAATCAAGGGACATTCCGTATAGAAGTCCGAGGTAAAGCTTTTGGTTTCTCAGAACAGCTTGGTATCAACTCACAAACCACACCCAGAGTGCGCGGCGCTTCGCTGAGCTCGCAACTCCAAGGAGGGCTGTTCAACTTGCATGCCTCGAGATGGCCCCGGCGATTCCTGGAAATGTCCGTGGCACACCCCAGGCTCTTGGGATTCTTGAAAAAGGCACTTTTTGGAGCAAACTGAGGGTGAGGGATCAAAAGCAACTTTTTAGACGCCTAAGTAGTTTGACACCTAATTAGTTTGTTTGATGCCTATCCCGCAAACTGAGAGGGCAAACTTAAGGACAAATGATGTGACATGCCACTTCTGCCCAAGTCAAGACAAACTAGATTGGAGCTTGAGCTTGAGCGCTCACCAAAGGTGCTTCTGTACTCGTGGATTTGTCAATCACCAATGCTCACCATTGGATAATTGCCCCTGCTCACCTAATACATATCCAAGCTACGACCGACCATTACCCAATTGGACAAATCAGTCAGACGAACGTGCGGAACCCTGTTTGTGAACAAGGCGGGCAGGCCCGCTCCAAACCTTCTTGTCAGAGAAGCGATGTCGTTTAGGCCATCACGACAAAGACAGTGGCGGAAACGCCAAATTCACCCCTCCAGGTGTTGTTCTTTTGGTTTTTAGGGGGGTCCCTTTTTGAGACACACCGACACACCCCTGCCACTGACCACTTTGTTAAAAAGGATTCAAGCTACAACCCCAGAAATCAGCCGGCCGTTGCGTTGGTCGGTCGGGCCTGACGATCTGGCCAAACGATCATCTGCAATTTCGTGTGGCGCAACTCAAGCGCAAGGCCACATGCACAAGATCGGTTTATTCCTTCTTCGTGGGATTGGTTTTACACCACTGACGCCGAAGGTTCAACGAGTGAATGGATTTGGCCAGAAGCGCGAGGCCCCGGCCAAGCTTCCCACCTCCAGATCGATCCAGTCCTCGGTCTGGAGAGAGCTATCCAGTCCTCACCCGCGACATTCTCCTTTCCGCCCGATCCTATTCCGCCTGGCTGTGGTCGAAACCAAGGGAACCATTTTGGGTGGGATGGGTAAATTCACCACCCACTTTAGGCTTCCTATTTTAGCGGTTGGATTGGGATGTTCACTGGGGGTGCCATGGAGATCCATCGCAAGGGCCCCTCAGGCTGGCACTGACAGAGTAGAACTTCGGCGGCTGGCAGGTCGCGCCGAGAAAACGCGCCGTTGAATGACACGCTCCACAAAACGACACTCGCAAGCTTGCAGCCACAGCTGTTGCCGGCCTTCGTCGCTCGAGAACCAGGCACAGCTTCTATGTCGAAGACCTGGTGACATGAGTCACTTGCTCAAAACCCGGGACTAATATGGTCTACCCAGAACCGCGAAAAGAATTAAGAAGGCGGCCGCAACTATTCATGGTTGGAATTGTCCCTTGCTAACCTTCATGTACCTGGGTTTTGATTGTGGCTGACATGATCAATGGCGCGTGGAGCTTGGAACTGCAGCATTGCACCAACGAGATCCATGCCTTGACAGCGTCGTTCATCAACTCCTCCGCGTATGCCGCCATGCCAGGCTTGTGATTCACCTGGCAACATGCAAGTGATGCGACATCAGGATCCCATTCCGCACTACTCACAAGCCCTTCTATTTCGAGCATCACTCACTGCATGGCAGCCATAGCTGTCGTTGACAAACAACTGGATATTTTGAAGCAGGGTCTCAAAAAGGATAAGCACATGTGTGTATATATATATATATATTATATTCATACTAATCATCTCGGCATGTTGGTTTTGATGGGAAGTCGATGAATTGCAGCCCTGGCCCTGACCTTCGGTGGAGCCTTGCGTGAGAAACTGGAAGCACCCATGAGTGCTTCTCACTTTTGAGGGGAATCACGTCCATCCCATTCACCATAACACAACACCCTGGTTCATTTCAAGTCAACTGCATCTAAGCACTAAGCCCTCTAGACGCCAGTCGATTTTACCCGGGGCCACTCTGTCACATTCCGCCGGCCTTCTTGATCCGATATCCAAGCTGCAACTTCTTCTGAGGATTGGCGTAGTTCCACCTAAGCATGGACACAAACAAACACACACACACACACACAAACATCCTTTTCAGCAGGACATCACTACTACTTCTTCGTGTGCAAAAACATTGCAGCTCCTCTAGCATCCTGGCCAAAAAGCTGCATGCTTTCGGGTGAATGGCCGCTTCTGGAGGCAACGCAGCTTCTGAAGCAAATACAGACCAAGAACGGATAAGAACGTAAGACACACAAGCGAAGGAGGAGCGTCATCAGTTTCCTTCTTTGCTTCACCCCTGGCAAAGGTCAGTTCTGAGGCCACTGGCTGTGCCACGACGCCGTCGGGGTTGATGGTTTTGATCCTCTCGTCAGACACGAAGTAGGGGCCCTTTTTGGTATCCCCTTTAAAACTTTCAAAGGCGGCCTTTTTGGGCGGCACCAGTCCCAAAAAGGGACCATATTTTTGACATCCCCACATCTTTCTCTCCTTCGAAACTTCGAAAGGGCACTGATATAGCAATAGGCATTCTGGACCCCCGGCCAAAAATGCAAGGCACGCAAGGCACCAAAAAGGCAGGCAGTCTTTAGATGGTACGTCCAAAGCAACAGGTAAGTCACTGTTGGGCTCACGGCGGGATCAGAATGGTAGTCTCAAAACTGCGATGTGGTGCTTGACGTTTTGGTGAGTGCTTTGCGCGCTGGGTGGAGCATGCGCATGTCTAAACTCAAGACGTGGCACTGCGCGTTTCATTGGAACCATCGCTTCGATGGGGATGTGGAAGTCAAAGAAATGTCCCAAGTTCCAAAGATCTTCAGTTCCCACCACGCCATCGTCGGGTTTTCGGCGGGTTTCTCGCCATCGTCGCCCCGGGGAGCCGGCTCCAAGGTCTTGCTGTCCACCGCGAGACCTCACGGAGACTTGCTTGACGTTGGAAGGGGAGCAAAAAAAATGAAAATGTTAGCAGTTCAGTGATTGGATTTCAACCACTAAACCACAAGAAGCCAAACATGTGAAATGCTTCCCAACAACAACCACGAAGAACCCTAAAAAACCCATACCCGAAAAGGAGCAGGTGGCAAAACAGACCCCAAGTGTCCATCATAAGGGGGGGAGGCACCCCTGAGTCACGTTCAATCAGATCAAACAAACACTCTAGGACCCTAATCGGCTTTCCTGTTTTGTCCAATGAGTACGGGGATTGGAAAAAACCGACTGCTCCTTTTCCGGATGGGGACCGCTTCCTCCCAATATCTGAGGCGCGCGCCGAGCTTCTGCCCTGCTGCTCGTTCCACATCTTGGCATCGCAGGGGCCGGGGCGTCTGTTGCATGTGAACATATCTCGTGACAAATCAATGAGCAGCAGTTAAGCAGTTTTCTTCAGAATGCATGCAAAAGGCATATTTCGCCCTGGCAAACTTGATTGCCATTCACTGATGGAGTGGTTGCTGGCACCCTTCGCTGGCGTGCGTGACTGTAGTATGATACCCTCGCACAGAAGAGTTTCTGGGATAGGTGTCTTTTTGGGAAATAGGTGGCCCTCGTAGATTGCGAAACGACTAGGTGAACCAAGGCCATCTATTCATTAACCAGAACAACCAAAAAGGACACCGGACACCTATGGTCTCTCTAGTAGAGCCAGCTTGCATGTGACCCTTTTCTTTTTGAGGATCCCCCAAAATGGCATCCCTTTTGGTTTCCCTTTAAAACCAATCAAACAAGGGCACCATCAATAAAACACACACACACACACACACCAAATCCACTGCAAAGACCGCCCGCGAGGACGGGACGGATCTTAATCACTTTCGAGGCCTGTCAAGCGCCAATCACCGCAGCCACAGCGCAATGCAGCCAAGTAGAGGCTGAGAGAGCCGCCTCCTTCGCAGCTTCCTCCTGAGAGGCGGGTGACTAAATCAAGCATGGGAAGCTCAGCCCCTAAAAGAAGCTAAAACTTAGAGATCTCCGGCTAGCACAGCTAGCTTTCGTGCATTTCTCAATGACCGCAAGAGGCACGACTTGCAAGAAGCACCTCTTGCTTACTCGACATACTGTGGATGGACGAAATCCTGCACCACTTTGGAACTATGAGAAACCATTGTTTGTTGGTATTTACAGGGGAATCAACATTCTAGGGCTTCTGAGGTGGTGCAGGATTTCGTCCATCCACACAGTATTCGACATGCTTTGCATGAATACAAGCGATTTGAAATGCACATGGCTGTGGATCAAAAATAGGTACCCAAAATGGGTTGCCCAGGTACAAGAAAACATGGACCAACATCTGCGGTCCCTGGTGGTTTAATTTGACCCATACCCACATCGCGAGTCGTGTCCTTCACTTTGAGCTGTAGCGTGGCGTAGGCCCAGTTGAACTCTTCCCCACCCATCTTTCCAGTGAAATCCGTGTCGAACTCGTCAAAGATTTCCTCACGCAATAGGGAGACATAAGTGGGACAAGCTGGAGTCACTTGCAAAGGCCTAAGGTAATCTAGCCTCGCTTTCTGAATGTGGCACTTCTCATAGCGCTCTTTGGAGTGACTCAACCACGCTGATCAATAAAAACAAAAACCACACATAGATCTTCTGGTGCTCTTAGTTGACTAACAAAAAACCCATGGGGCTGAAAACCAAAGCGGTAGCACCGCTTAACCCATGGCCATGGGTCAAAATCCAAATCGTACCCCAAGTGAACATCCCAATCCAACCACTAAAATGGGTTCTAAAATGGGTGGTGCACCTACCCCAAAATGGGATCCCATTGGTTTTGACAACCACAGCCACATAGATCTTCTGGTGCTCTTAGTGACCAACACAAACCATGGGCTTAAAAAAGCGGTCGCACCGCTTAACCAATCCAACCACTGGAATGTTCTAAAATCGGTGGTGCACCTACCAACCAAAATGGGATCCCATTGGACTTGACAACCGCAGCCACATAGATCTTCTGGTGCTCTTAGTGACCAACACAAACCATGGGCTTAAAAAAGCGGTCGCACCGCTTAACCAATCCAACCACTGGAATAGGTTCTAAAATGGGTGGTGCACCTACCAACCAAAATGGGATCCCATTGGACTTGACAACCGCAGCCACATAGATCTTCTGGTGCTCTTAGTGACCAACACAAACCATGGGCTGAAAAAAGCGGTCGCATCGCTTAACCAATCCAACCACTGGAATAGGTTCTAAAATGGGTGGTGCACCTACCAACCAAAATGGGATCCCATTGGATTTGACAACCACAGCCACATAGATCTTCTGGTGCTCTTAGTGACTAACATAAACCATGGGCTGAAAACAAAGCTAAAATAGGTTCTAAAATGGGCGGTGCACCTACCAACCAAAATGGGATACCATTGGTTTTGACAACCACAGCTCCATGGACGTCGGCGTGATCCGCAAGCGGTCTTCGCCGCCGGTGGCGTCCTCCAGGGTCACGTAGCTGGGTGGCATGTGCCCCTGCATCTGGGCGATGTGCCGCGCCAAACCCTTGAACTCCGCCTTGGGATCGATTCCGCGAGTCGAGCTCGATGCAGGTTTTGGTGAGTCTGCTTCTCTCGGTTGCTCCCCTGCTAAAAGTGAATAACTT